GCAGTGGTGCGATCTCAGCTCACTGCAACCTCTGCCTCCTGGGTTCAAGTGATTCTCCTGCCTCAGCCTCCTGGGTAGCTGGGATTACAGGTGCCCGCCACCACACCCGGCTGATTTTTGTATTTTTAGTAGAGACGGGGTTTCACTATGTTGGCCAGTATGGTTTCAAACTCCTGACCTCAGGTGATCCACCCGCCTCGGCCTCCCAAAGTGCTGGGATTATAGGTGTGAGCTACCACACCAGGCCTGGAAGTGTTTTTTAAGCCTTCAAGACTGAGCATTTGTTAAGGTAGCATGGAAAACTAACAGATTACTAAAGAAACTCTATCATTCACATTAGAAAAGTCACAACTTGCTAGTAGTATCTCCTCTAACAATGAGAAATTGGCCATGTCCTTTTCCTTCAGGTTTCCTCTGGGCTGTTGTACCCCATGTCTCCTCATCTGCCCCTATATGCAGGAACAAGTGGCTTGCTTTCTTGCTGTCATACATAGCAAAACTCAAGACCCCCTATTACCAGTTGTCAAAGCATCCTTTCAGATGAACCAGTTGTGACACTCATATTTTGTAGACAGGAAAATACTGGTAGCATATGTGACTTGTACCTTGCCACTAATTGGTAATTCTGGAATAAAATGCCAGTGGGACTTTAATTTCTGACTTATTATGGGTTGACACAAAACCTTCTGGGTTCACAGCAGTTTATTTGGAAGAGGCAAGGAAATCTGAGCTATATTAAAATAGGAAGCTCAATTTCCTCCAAAATAGCTTCCCCTACTTTCTCTGTTTCTGTTAATGATGCTATCTAATACCACCTGAGGGGTTTGTTAGCCATTCAGTGAGGCTAGGAGTGTTGAGGTCATCTAACATATTTTTCTCCTCGACTGTAACCTCATCTGGTCTTCCTACCACTTCCAAAAGTCAGATAATTGCTAAGTCATATGACTTCTACCTCCACACTGTCTGTACATCCTATATGAACTTTTCAATCTGAAAATACTGCTTTTGACCAGGCACAGTGGCTCATGCCTATAATCCCAGAATTTTGGGAGACCCAGATGGGCGGATTGCTTGAGCTCAGAAGTTAGAGACCAGCCTGGGCAACATGGTGAGACTCCTATCTCTACTAAAAATACCAAAAAAACAAAAACAAAATAGCTGGGCATGGTGGTGGGTGCCTATGGTCCTAGCCCTTACTTGGGAGGCTGAGGTCCGAGGGTTGCTTGAGCCATAGGGACAGAGGTTGCAGTGAGCCAAGATTGCACCACTGTACTCCAGCCGGGGCAACAGAGTGATACCCTGTTTAAAAACAACAACAACAACAAAAATGCTTTTATATCTCCCTTCTCTCCTCCTGTCCAAATGTCCTTCCTGAAGTGGGGAACTGATTGCATGACTCTTCTGTGTGAGCTTCACCGCCTGCTGAATCTGGTTTATATTCCTCACTCACTCTGTTTTCTAATGCCTGACCTCATAGGCCCCCGATCAGCCTTCACTCCTGCTCCAGTCAAGGGCATCATTTTCTTACCTGAAATGAACATGCTTTTGCTGACGGGACTTGTTCATTTAGTTCATTCTTCTGAAAATGCCCACCTTCACTTCTTTCTCTGTCAAATTTTCAAGACCGATCTTAAACATCTCTCTCCTCTGTGAAGCTGTTTCTCCCAGATACCACGTTTCTTTCTTCTTATCCCCAAAGCAGTATAACTTATTCTAAGCATGCATGGTGTTTGTTGAAAAACTAAGGTGTTAAAGACAATGGTTTTGTTTTTTTGTTGTTGTTGTTGAATGCCTGTTTAATCATTCATTGTTTTTGGTTTAATAGAGGTAGGTTATACCAAAGATAGGATTTTGTTCAATTATTTGGATAAGGAGGGAAGCGTCACTGATAGTTGTAATGTGAGAACTGTAATTGTACTGTTATTTAGATGCTCTCTGCTGCCTGTGCTGATGTTCTGTGACTAGGATTTGTTTAGATGTTACACTGTCTCCCATTCATAATCTTATTTTAAAATGTGAAATTAACGCTACATGACCTTAGAATAAGAGATACATGTGGGAGAGGAGGTAGAGGGAACCGGGGACAGGTGGGTGGGGACAAAATATTAGGGAAGAAAAGAAAGACAATGCCAAAATGGAAAAAAAAAATCTACATATGTAATATATGTATGAATAATATCAAGAAAAATGTGCAATGTAAAATTATGCCTATATAATTTTATGACAAATTGGATAAACACATGAACAATGATCCAATGAAAATACAATGTAAGATTACGAGTGAGAATTCTGGAGGCATGGTTTGTGGCTTGTCACATGACTGGCTACGTGACCTTGGGTAAGTTCTGCACCTCGCCCTGGCTTGTTTCCTTATCTGTCAAGTGGGGATAACAACAGTACCTATGATTACGGAGCTGTGAGAGTTACGTAAGTTTCTATATAAAAGCACCTAGCATAATGCCTGACACATCGTGGGCCCCCAAGACAATGAAGAGACTGATGAGGAGGCTCTCTGATGCCTTTACAAGGTGTTTTGCAGCTTCGATTTTCTTGCAATCTTTCCTTATCTTGCCCATCTTTTTTTTCATCTCATTTTGTTGATTTTCATCTTAGTCTGTTTTCTCTTTGACTTTCCATTCCACGTACCTCAATTTGTGTTTTTGAGGTATATTATTGAAGATGCCAGAAAGCTTCCTGACATTTCATGCTGGATTCTGTTAGGAATCATTTTCAAAAGTACAGTGGTTTCTTTTTTCATGAGGTATGTTTATGCTCATGTTTGCCCCAACTCTGAAGTATTCTTCATAAATTCTATGTCATTTGTTTATTTTCCCCTCACCGATTTTTAAAGAAGGCAATAATTCTCCAAAATTAGTAGTTAATTGAAAGATACGGCTTAAGTGGGGAATTAGAAACACTTAAACGTTCATTTTAACTCATTTTGCATTAACTTATATAAATCTATTTTATGCACTAATCTTTAATTCAGACCACAGGTCTTTTATGAGTTCACCAGTTTGGATACTCACATTTGTCTTACATCAACCCTGCCCCTATCTAAGGTTTCTAGTCTCATCTCTTGAAAGTTAAATGGGAACTTAAAGACGTGCCTGAAGCAAACTGAGTGCAGAAGCTCTCTAACTTTTCTGTAAATGTTTTCTGCTCTTTCACGGTTGTCACACATATTTTGACAGCAGTTCTTTTAGTGACTGTCCAAAGCCTTAAACTTAGTTTCTACAGAAATAACAACTCCAATTTTGTGTTCATATTTTATTGGTTTGTGTCATATTTAATTACATAATTATAATAACAAATACAATTTATTAAAATGCAGTTTAGAATAAACCATACTGAATCATGTAAGTATGAATTTAACTAGTAACAAAAGTGAGCAAAGGATATGAGAAGGTGGCCAGAGTCAGGCATATTCTGTCGTGTGGGCATGGGGCAGGACCGTTTACAGAAGCGATAGGAAGTAAATCTACAGAGTCCATTAAATGGAAATCAGTTAAGGAAGATTGAAACACAGCAGTAGTTTTCAAACTCTAGTGTGCATCAGAACCATCTAGATGGTTTGGTAAAGCATAGATTGCTGGGCCACAACCTAGAGTTTCTGATCAGTGGGATTGGGGTGGGGCTGAAAAATTTGCCAGCATTTCTAGCAAGCTGCCAGCTGACACCATCTGCATGTCCAAGAAACACGTTTTGTGAACCACTGACCCACAGCCAGTGTTGATGGTGTGGATGGGGAGAAGTCCTTTCAAACATCATCAGCATGCATAGAGCAGAAAGCCAAGTATTATTTTTCCATCTGTCTCTACCCACTTCCTAATGGATATTCCTCCTATAATCAGACGTTAGGTTTTTCTATTACTCTTCGTTCTTGGTATTGTGTTAAAATTTCTAATTTTGTGTGTGTGTGTCTACCTAGGCACTTTATTTAGAAGTTGAGGGAGGATGCAATGAGGGCTTTTCAAGTCTTCATGTTCATTCTCTTTGATTTCTTGAAAAAGATAAAACTACTAGTTAGCTTATTCAACCTTGCTGAACACATTGTTTTCAAATCACAAGTCTCCAAGTCTCTTCACAGGAAAATAACTTATTTCTGTCTCTCAGAAAACTTGTGTTTGGCAATAGCTTATCAGCTGCAGGGTGGAAAGGCAGCACTGTGGGTGTGTTGTCAGCAAGCTGAAGACTTTGAGAAAGAAACAGATCATCTGATTGCTCTGTAATCTCCTTTCAGAACTGGCTGACGGAGCTGGAGATCTTTGCTATAATCTTCTCAGCTGCCATCCATGACTACGAGCATACCGGAACCACCAACAATTTCCACATTCAGACTCGGTGAGGGTGTTGAAATATTTGGAAGAGAGGCAAGAGGGGTCAGAGACAGTTTTAGAAATCAGAAAGGTGTTAGTCACCTTTCTTTTGCATAGTTTTCCTATTTTGAGTTTCTGAAATAATGAACCTCTACATGAGAGATCAGTCTGGTCAGCCTCAATCAAGACTTAGAGTTTAAGAAGCCGTCAGCTCCTAATTCTCCTATTTTGTTCAGATCTCATATAGATATCCTTTTCTTCTCTATTCTAATGTTCGCTATTTGTTTATGTATGTTCTGTGCATACTCTACCTATTTCTAACAGGAAATGGGGCAGTTTACGTAAAGGGCCAGATGACACGTAAAGGAAATGAATAAGGACAGTGAGGATTAGAATGTTTTTGTTGACATTAACAACATTGAACAATCTTACCCTCTGATCTCTGGGATTCTCATGAGATCTCTTCTCATCCTCTCTGGTTTCATATCTGCTCTGTTTAGTGCTTGCATTACTCCCTGTCTCAGGGCCCCGAGAGTAAGGTTGTCTCCTGTAGGCCACCTTCACCGTGAGCAACCTGTGCATTCCTCCTAATTGACTGCATAGGTAAACACAAACCTCCCATTGGAGACATTAAATATGGGTCCAAGTGCCCCACTTGGAACCTCCTGACCTGTATCAGATATTGTTAATTGATTTTGGTATTTTTTCTTACTAAACTGTGGGTTTATTCTGAGTATTCCTCTCAGCACAGAATTCCAGGCAATAGCACCAGTCAATTGTCATTTCTACTTAGGATAAACTCTTCCTTGCCCTCTCCTAGCCTAAGAACTTGCCCTCTCTTAAGACAATGATGTGGAACTGGAGATAATCTGGCAGTAGAGTTAGTTAATTATCCTTGACATAGTAATCAAAAGGAGCTAGGATATGGTGAAAGGTAGTAAGTCAAAGAGAAAGAATGCAGCAGGGCGGGATGAGAGTTTAACACCAAATAAATACTTGCCGATTTCACTTGAAAAAGCAGGTGCACACTCTAGATAGGTTTATGTTCATTAAATCAATCTACATGTATTTAATGAACTCAACACTTAATTACAGTGTACACAAAAGAAAACAATATTGTCTGATCTCTGTTCAGAAGGAGAATTTTAATTGAATGGAAGCAGACAAAAGAACTTCGGCTACTCGCTTCAGTTCCACCTTCCTGCCTCCTCATTTAGTCTCAGCCACAGAAAAGCAGCTTTTTGTGGTTCTGTTCCAAGGTCTTTAACACAGGGAATTCCATAGAGTAGCACTGTTTAATGTGTGTCTGTGGGTGGAACCTTTGCTCTGAGGACAGAGACCATGGTGAATAGCACCTGCCCAAGAAAGATAGGTGGGTTGAACATATGTGGGTCTTGCCTGGAGACCAGGATCAAAACCAGCCCCAACTCAGAGGAAAATGGCTTAATTACAGGAGTTGGAAAAGAGTGTCACAAAATACACATCAGTTGGTATCTAACTTACTCAACAGATGTAACAGCAGATCTTTCACCTCGGGATTTGAATGTTCTGTGTTATCTCAATAGGAGTGGGAAAATTCCAATGTGTTCAGTTAAGCTTGGTTTGGAACAAAATTTAAACATTGGCCCTGTTCAACAGAACTTTATCCAAAGCATCTCAGCCTGTGTGATCTCTGTTCAGAAAACAAAGTCTGTGACTAGGCCCTTAATCCTTTGATGAATAAAATGTTAAGCCTAACAGTTTCAGGGTATGATAGATACTGCCCAAAGTTTGGCCAATGGCAGGTGGAAGTTATCTTGGGGAAGCACTGGCCCAGCTGTCAGAAGATCTTGCCTTCATCCCAGCCCTGCCACTTGGCCACCAAAGGGCTCTAACAAGTATTTTTAAGTCTCTGAAACTCAGCTTCCTTGGTGAGAAACAAATAATCTAAGCTTTCATTAAATTTAAGATCTTAAAATAGTATACAGTCCTGTGTTTAGTGACATTCAGCTATAGTATGGTCTTTGAGATAGGGACTAAAAACTGACATTATAATCTTTATATTCTTTATTCTCAATTTTCCACATGTGGTTTCTGCATGGAAAAACTTTAAGATCAAGCCACTATCAGAGGTAGCTTACAGATAGTACCTACTAGGTGATGTGTGTTCTGAAAATTACAGCTGAAATAAATAAACTGGTGCATTCATTGAATAAAATAAAAATAAAAATAAATGTCATTCCAGAAAATATAAAGAAGTTTGACATGACCCATATTTAAAAAAAAAAAAAAAGAAAAAGCACCTTTGCCACTAATATAGGTAATTGAGATCTGATTGTAAAACAGTTTTAAGAGAGTTCTCAGGCTGGATTTTACATATTTCCTGCCCACACATGTACCGATACTAAAATACCCTACATTCATCTATTGATGATTTGTAGTGTTAGTTGAGCTTTTGGTTCACATAAATGGCATGGGGACAAAGATAATTTCTAAGCATGGGAAAAAGTGGTAGTGCGTTCTAGCCTGTTAGAATTACCCAAATAAATCGCAACTGTTTAACATTCTGAATTTTGCTTGGTTTCTGTTCAGGTCTGATCCAGCTATTCTGTACAATGACAGATCTGTACTGGAGAATCACCATTTAAGTGCAGCTTATCGCCTTCTGCAAGATGACGAGGAAATGAATATTTTGGTTAACCTCTCAAAGGATGACTGGAGGTAAGGATGAGAAAAGAGAGAGATTTGGAGGCCAGGGAAGGAACTCTGAAGTTGGATGAAGTATGCTGCTTTTGAGAAAATAACACCTTACCTAAAATGTTGATTAGTATTGCTTTCTCTCTCTTTCTTTCTCTCACTCTCACCTTCTCTTTGTGTATGTATGTATGTCTTATTTCTCTCTCTTTTTTCTTTATACAGATATTCAAATGTTTATAAATAAAATCTATAGAATGTTATGATTAAGTTCCAACTACTTTATTCTGCCATCTTTACATTGCTTTTTATTGATGAATTGGGAAGTGAAACCAGTTTGAGTCAAATAATTCGATGTTGTCCTAAAAATTCTTAAATAAGAAAGTTTGAAAAATAACTTCTAACAGTGTTCAACTGAGGACACTTTGGATATATTTGCTTTTTTTTTTTTTTAACTCTAGGAAATGTGTTGCTTTTATCTGAATTCGTTAAATCTGAATTTTATCTTTTATTTAATAACATGTGTTTTTGACCCTATATTTGATTTGGACTTCTTATCAATCTTTTGATACTTTCTAAGGAAATTATTTGACACTTAAAAAAATTATGTACACTTAATTCTGTTGCATGAATTTAGGCACATACCTGTGTTTTGAATATGGACTCAGTCACTTGCTAGCTGTATGACATTTGGGAAGTGATTCAATATCTTTACATCTTTAAAAATTTAATTTCTTGAAAATAGATAATAACATTTATTCTGCAGTTGGAATACATTATGGTAAACAACAGAATCATTTTAAAATGCTTACCACACTTTGTGTCATATATAGCAAGCCAATAAATCATTGTAGCTATAAATATAGGTTAAGGCACTTCAAACCTTGCAGGCAGAGATCATCTAAATCCTTACAAAATTCTGAATCCATTGTGACTGAAATAGTCCTTATATTTTAATTAAATAATCAGCTGTTTATTGGGTATTTATGTGCTCACCATCTTTCAAGGATTCAGAGAAATAAACTGTACTGAACAATAAATCTGAGAGGCTGATTTTTATTGAGAGTGGCTAAGAGTTTCCATGTAGCTTTAGTTTATTAAAACATATGGAAATATTTGACTTAAATTTTATTGAAATATGCTAGACTTAGCCAGCATCTGAAAAATTCAGAGCAATTCAATTAATCATTGCACAACTTCAGGAAAAAAGTAACCCTCCATGCAATTGAACTATTAGTAAAAGTTATAATAAAAGATTTGATTACGAAAATTTCCCCCCATTCTGTAGGTTGCCTGTTCACTCTGATGATAGTTTCTTTTGCTGAGCAGAAGCTCTTTAATTTAATTAGATCCCATTTGCCAATTTTGGCTTTTGTTGCCATTGCTTTTGGTGTTTTAGTCATGAAGTCTATTGCCCATGCCTATGTCCTGAATGCTATTGCCTAGGTTTTCTTCCAGGGGTTTTATGGTTTTAGGTCTTACTTTAAGTCTTTAATCCATCTTGAGTTAATTTTGTATAAGGTGTAAGGAAGGGTCCAGTTTCAGTTTTTGCATATGGGCTAGCCAGTTTTCCCAACACCATTTATTAAATAGGGAATCCTTTCCCCATAGCTTATTTTTGTCAGGTTTGTCAAAGATCAGATGGTTTTAGATGTGTGGTGTTATTTCTGAGGCCTCTGTTCTATTCCATTGGTCTGTATATCTGGTTTTGGTACCAATACCATGCTATTTTGGTTACAGTAGCCTTGAGTATCATGGTTTGAAATCAGGTAGCATGATGCTCCTGGTTTGTTCTTTTTCCTTAGAATTGTCGTGGCTATACAGGCTCTTTTTTAGTTCCACATGAAATTTAAAGTAGTTTTTTCTAATTCTGTGAAGAAAGTCAATGGTAGCTTGGATGGGGATAGCATAGAAATAAAACGTGGTCTATGCTATAACTATAAATAAGTTTCCACCACAATCAGGGTCGTTCCAATACATAATCTATCCATGATTTTATTGTCTCTTTGAGATATTTTTTTCACTCTCTCTTCAAAGATAATAAAGCTAGTACGAGAATAAGAACACAAATATACAAGGGTTAGCACCTAAACAGATTTCAATAATCTTTATTTCAAGTGACTATTTGCATTTTTTATACTAAATTCCACCTGTGTTTTGCTAAATCACTGAATTTTGTAACTTTTTTTAAAATCAGAGGCAACATTCAAATTATTCACAACTGGCTTCACAATATCCACTTATAAGGAACAGAGCTAAAATGAACACTAAGTAGCTTGCATGATAATATAGCAATGCTTCCAGTTGAACAATATGTCTGGTTTTCCAGGTGACTATGGTTTAGATCCTGCCTATGCCAGCCTCGCTACCCCTAGTTGTAGATTGAAAGAATGAATGAACTTATGATTAAGGTAGAGTTGGAAATACAATTATATAGCTAAGTTTTTGACAAAATGTACTAAGCGAAGTGAAAATCTATAAGCAAGAATGATGTACGAATATAGTACTAGTTTGGAAAATATGCTTAGAGGCAATTATGCAAGCCTTTAGATAACTCTTTACTAATTGTCAGGAACCAGATTATACCTTGTCAAACAAGCCCTCACACAAATCCTTCCAAAACCATGATATATCGAATGATGTGTGACGCTGTCTCGCCATATTCAAACTTTGAATTATCTATTGATTACTTGGAACGATCTCACTCTGTGCCCAGGAAGTGGATGCAGTGGCATGATCTCAGCTCACTGCAACCTTTGCTTCTCAGATTCAAGTGATTCTCCTGCCTCATCCTCCCGAGTAGCTGGGACTACAGGCATGCACCACCAGCCCTGGCTAATTTTTTGTATTTTTAGTAGAGATGGGGTTTCACCATGTTGGTCAGGCTGGCCTCATATTCCTGACCTCAAACGATCCACTGGCCTTGGCCTCCCAAAGTGCTAAGATTATAGGCATGAGCCACTGTGCCTGGCCACCTTTTGTTATTTTTTTCAAACCATTTTTATTAGTTTTTTAAATTATATTTTAAGTTCTGGGATACATGTGCAGAAAGTGCAGTTTTATGCATGTGCCATGGTGGTTTGCTGCACCCATCAACCTGTCATCTACATTAGGTATTTCTCCTAATGCTATGCCTTCCCTAGCTCCCCACCCCCTGACAAGCCCCAGTGTGTGATGTTTCCTTCCCTGTGTCCAGCGATATCTGATATATTGCTTACTGAACCTGTACAGAGTTTGTATTTTGAGTATAAATAAGTTTTGCCTGCTAAAACAAAATATCAACAATCTTCAGAGCAATATAATAGAACCCAGATTCCCTACAACTTATATCTATAATATTCAGGATACAATCTAAGTGACATATAAAGATCAGGAAAAAATGATTTCTTAGCAAGGCAAAAGAAAATCAATAGATATACACTCTAGGATAAACCATTGTTAGAATTATCAGATGAGGACTTTGGACTTTTAAAACAATTATTATTTCCATGCTCAGTGAGATAACGAAAAATGTGCTTGTATTGAATAAAATATGGTAAGATTTGTGAGTAAAATGAAAATATAAATGAAAAACAAATTTTAGAACTAAAAAATAAAATATCTACATTTAGAATTTGCTACATAGGCTTAGTGCATGGCAGAGAAGACAGAAGAAAGAAACAGTGACTTTTAAAAGTTCATTTTTCGAATTTGAAAGTTGGAAATTATTCAATTTGAAAAAGTAAGAGGAAAAAGATGTTTTAAATGAGTAGAATGTTAGGGACATGTGGGATAATTTTATGTGAGCAAACATAAGGGCAATTTGAGTCTCAGAAGGAGAGAAAAGAGAGAGAATAGGAAAGAAAAAGAATTTGAAGAAATAATGACTGAACAGTCTCCAAATATTGCCAAACATATAAATAGACAGATTCAAGAAATTCAGCAAACCTGAAACAGGATAAATTTGATGAAAAAACGCCTAGGCACATATTATAGTCAAACTGCTAAGAAGCAAAGATAAAATTAAAGAAAAATGGCAAATTACATTTAGGAGAACAAGTTGAATTACAGTAGACTATTCCTCAGAAACTATGGAGGCCAGAAAACAATGGAATAATTCATTTAAAGTACTAAAAAGAAAAAAAAAGCCAACACAGAATACTACATCCTGTGAACATGAACTTCAAGAATGAAGATGAAATAAAATTATTTTCAGATAATAGAAAACAACAGGAATGTGTCACTAATGGAGCCGCGTTATAAAGGATGCTAAATAAATTTCTTTAGAGCTTTCATTGAGGTAGTTTCAAAAATATTATTTTGTTATTTTATATTTTATTAATTTTTAGATTAATAAATCTAAATATTTATTGGAAGGAAAATGATATAGTGAAATCAGACTTTTAGGAAAGAATAAAATGATAAATATCTGGGAAAATATAGAAGACCATTTTTCTTCATTTATTTAAATTGTGCATTTGACCATTTGAAACAAAAATTACAACACCATCTCATGGGGCTTATATGTAGAGAGGTGTAATACATGTGACAATGATAACATAAAGACCAGTTAATGTTAGTAAATGGACCTATGCTGTTGCAGGATTTTTACATGTTACACAAAGTTGTACAATAGACAGAAAATTAAAGATAGTATGTTGTAATCCCCAAACAACCACTAAAAAGATTAACCATAATAGCTAAAAATTGTTGAAGTTTACCCATTTATCAAAAGATAAATTTAAATTGACCATTTAGCAGTGGATAAATTAAAATTAATTTAAAAAATAAATAATACAAAAAATATCTCAAGCAGAAAAGTTTTTGTGAAGGGAAAAAAGCAAAGATGATAATCAGAAAACAAACAATAAGATGTTAGACCAAATCCAACTAAATTAATAATTACATTAAATGTTAAAGGACTAAACATTCCACTTAAAAGGAAAAGGTTATTAGAAATGATAAAAAGGCGAGCCTTAATTGCAATTGTACAAGAGATACACTTTAAATATAAATACACTAAAAGGTTCAAAGTAAAAGTATGTAAA